CACCCCAAGAGCAGAGAAAAACAAAATGGAAAAAGAAAAAGAAAATCGCGCGGCACGCATTGCGCGCTGCGCGCTACTCAAATCACCAAAATTCAAACAGTCCAAAGGCTAGTGGAAAGGGATCAGACACCAGGTTGGTCGGCCCTACAGCCTCAGTCCGCCTGGTGTCCGGAACTGCTGGCAGGCTCAATCCGGGTTTCGGGTGGGGAGGGGTGGGGGCTCGCCTTAAAGTCCCAGGCAACCAACCTGGGGTCCAAGGAGGAAGAACGGTGGGGATGCGTGGAGTTTCAGTAGGGTCGGGCCTGCAGCCTCAGTCCGCCTCCAGAATGGATTTTTTTAAAAGGAGAAAAAAATACTCAACTATATGTTGTCTACAGGACCACCCACAAATATGCCCAGCATGCTTTTCAAGCCGCCAGGTCTGCGACTCAGCCATGGCTGACCATGGCTGACTGTAGTAAGTCAGTAAAAGTAGAAGTGCCACGTGGAAGTCCAGCACCTTAACTACCACACCACCTGTTGGCCCATCAATGCTCCATTGTAATAACGCCTAGAATACTTTCTGTGCTACCCACACAATGGTCTATATGGCATTGCTCTGGATTCCTATCGTAACTTAAAGGGAAAGTCAAACAATGTGCAGAGCCCTTGATGTTCTGCAAATGAAGGAGGAGGATGACCTCAAATCCCTTGTAGCAGGAACCCGCTTAGGTGGCACAAACTTCGACTCCCAAAAGGAACAGTACATCTACAAAAGGAAAAGGGATGACATCTACATCATAAATCTGAAGAGGACCTGGGAGAAGCTTCTGCTGGCAGTGCATGCCATTGAAAACCCTGCTGATGTCAGTGTCGTATCTTCTAGAAATACTGAACCAAAGGCTGTACTCAAGTTTGCTGCTGCCTCTGGAGCCACTACTGTCACTGACTGCTTCACTCCTGGAACCTTCACTAATCAAATCCTGGCAACCTTCTGGGAGCTGCATCTTATGGTGGTTACTGGCCCCAGGGCTGACCACCAGCCTCTCACAGAGGTATCTTATGTTAATCTACCTACCATTGTTCTGTGCAACGCAGATTTCCCTCTGCACTGTGTGGACATTGCCATCCCATGCAACAGCAAGGGAGTTCACTCAGTAGGTCTGATGTGGTGGATGCTGGCCCAGGAAGTTCTACGCATGTGTGAACACCTGTGGGAGATCACACCTGATCTCTACTTCCACAGATCCTGAAGAAATAGAAAAGGAGGAACAGACCGCTGCTGAAAAGCCTGTGACCGGGAACCAGCGGTTGGCGTAATGGCTATGTCGCTGGATTCCCACGTAGTCGACTGCGGTTCGTGTCCCGGACCCGGTGGCTTAAAACTCACGCCAGGCGCGTGTGCGTGCGTGCCCAAGATCCCGAGAGGAGAATGGAGGAGAAGGGCCCAAGATCCCGAGAGGAGAATGGAGGAAAAGGGATTGCGGCGTGACCATCCCCCCTGGGGGGTGATTTCTCGCTTTCTGTCTCTATGTCTCTCTCTGTCTGTCTGGCGAGCGCACGCGCCCTACAGTGAAAATCTCTCCAAAACAAAAAAAAAAGCCTGTGACCAAGGAGGAATTTCAGGGTGAATGGACTGCTCCAGCTGCTAAGTTTACTGCTACTCAGCCTGAGGTAGCAGACTGGTCTGAAGGTGTGCAGGTGCCTTCTGTGCCCATCCGAAAGCTCCCTATTGAAGACTGGAGCGCTCAGCCTGCCACTGAAGACTGGTCTGCAGCCCCCACTGCTCAGGCCACTGAATGGGTGGGAACAACCACTGAATGGTCTTAAGCCTGCTGTATCACAGACTTTTGTACAAAGTGGAAATAAGGTCGATAAGGAAAATAAACAACAGTTTATTGAAAAAAATAATAATAATGACTAGGATAACCAAACAGAAGAGCAACATGGAAATAGAGGATTGTAACAACACTCTAAACCAATTAGACCTAACAGAATATTCAACGATAGCAAAATACACATTTTTCTCAAGTATTAATGAAACACTACAGAATATACTACCAAAAACAGACAATAAATTTTAAAACATTAAAATTATAAAAGTATCTTAACTGATCACACTGGAATAAAACTGGAAATCAATTACAAAAGGAAGACTGAAAAACTTACAAATATGTGGAAATTAAACAACACACACAAAAAAAGAAATTAAACAAGTCCTTAAATAATGAATGTGTCAAAAAAGTCACTCAAAATTTAGAAAAATCCTTGATACTAATGAAAACATGGAGTCCAAACGTGGTAAATAATGAAAGTAGGGATAAGGAGGAAATGTATAGCTGGCTATAAATTCCTATATTAAAAAAGAAGAAAGAATACAAATCAGTAATCTACTTGTACCTTGTAAGGAATTTCGAGCTAAACCCAAATAGAAGGATGAAAATAATACGGGATAGAGTGGATTCAATGAAAGAGAGAATAGGAAAATAATAGGAAAAACAAAATCAACAAAACCAAAATTTGGCTCTTTGAAAAGGTCAACAGAATTGACAAATATTTAGACACATCAAAAATTTTAAAAATAAGTACTCGATCCTTTCTTATTTTATTTTATTTTATTTTTAGTTTCCGCCATAGGGTGTATCACTCACCAGAAAGAGAGAGAAGGGGAAGTGAGAAATTGGCCATGCTGCAATCTCGTCTCCTCCGTTCTCCTCTTGGAATTTTGGCCACACATGTGCATGCACCTTGTGTGCCTTTCAAGCCACCAGGTCTGGGATTCAAACCATGCAGTTGGCCATGTGGGATTGATCTAGCTGCTTTAACCTCCATGCCACCTACTGGCCCGATACTCAATCTTCTAAAATCAAAAAAGAAGGACTACTGCTACTAATTATAGAGAAATTAGAAGAATAAGATAAAACAATGAATTATATTTGCTTGCCAACAAATTGGATAACCTAGACAAAACAGACAACTCCTTAGAAATGCACAAAACTATCAAACTCACCCAAGAAAAATTAGAAACTATTAGTAGACTTATAAAAAGAAAAGAGGTTGAATCAGTAATCAAAAATTTCCTAACAAAGAGAAGTTCAGGAGTAAATGGTCTCACTGGTGAATTACACCAAACATTCAGCTAAGAATTAACAGAATACTACAGAAAATATTCCAAAACAATAAAAAGGAGAAAACACTTTCTTACTTTATGAGACCAGCATTACTCTGATACCAACACCAGACAAGACATTACACAAAAGAAAAACTATAGACCAATGTCCCTTATGAATCCTCACTTAAAAATCCTCAATAAAATACTAGCAAATAATTCAGCAGCACACTTAAAGGATTATATACCATGATCAAGTGTAACTTACCCCCCAAATGAACATGGGAAAAGCAACCAATGTAAAATATCACGTTAACAGAATGAAGGAAAACAAATGCATGATCAGAAAACAGAAAAGTTCATAAAAGCACTTGAAAAAATCTAAGTCCCAGGCCAGCAGGTGATGGAGGTCAAGGCAGCTGGATCCCACATGGCTAGTTGTGTGGTTCGAGTCCTGGACCTGGCAGTTTAAAAAATAAAGCTGGGCACATGTGCATGTGTGCCCAGAATCTCAAGAGGAGAAGAGAGAAGGGATTATAGTGTGGCCATCTGCCCTGGGGCAGGTAGGAGTGGAGCAGATTGGATTTCTCACTTTCCCTCTCTGTCTCTCTCTGCAAGAGCCCTATAGCCAAAAAAAAAAAAAAAAGAAAGAAAGAAAAGAAAAAAAAAAGAATCTAATTTCCTTTCGTGATAAAAAATAATATTCAATAAATTAGAACTAAGAGGGAACTTTCTCAACATAAAGTCCACATGATAAATGCACAGTTAATATCATAACCAATGGTAAAAGACTGAAAAATTTCTTTCTACAATCAGGATAAAGACAAGGGAGCCCACTTTCACTGTTTCTATTTAACATAGTTCTTTAAATTCTAGCTAGAATCATTATAATAAAAAAAGAATGAAAAAGGTGTTCAAACTGAAAAGAAAACGTAAAAATATTTACGCTTGCAGATAACACGATCTTATATATAGAAAATCCTAGAATTATACACACCCACACACAATTAAAACTAAATAAATGAAATCAGCAAGTTTCAGGATATAAAATCAACACCCATAAATCAGTTGTATTTCTACGCACCAGAAATGAGCAATCTGAAAAAGAAATTAAAACAATTCCATTTACAGTAGCATGATGAATAATAAAAATAATTAGGTATAAATTTAACCAAGGAGGCAGAATACTTGTACACTGAAAAAGTACAAAACATTGCTGAAAGAAAGTGAAAGGAATAAATGAGTGGAAAGCCGTCCTGTGTTAATGGATTGAAAAACTTAAATAGTTAAAATGGCAAAACTGCCCAAAGTGAGCTACAGATTCAATGTAATCTCTATCAGGATCTCAACATCATTTTTGCAGAACTAGACAAATCCAGCCAAGCAGTGGGAGCGTGTGTTAGATGCTACTGTTCTGCAGGTTGAGGCTGCAGCCTCAGGAGACACAGGTTTGATTCCCAACCTATCCTAAACTCTGGGCACAGTGGTGCAAGGTTTTTGAAATAACCAGGGATAGTGGTACACACCTGTAGTTCCACCTATTCAAGAGACTGAGACAAGATGATTGTAACACAATGAGATCCTGCCTGAAAAGAGAGAGAGAGAAAGGAAAAAACCCATATAGGTACCCCTATACCCCCCAAAAAAAATCATTTGGGGGCTGGCCCCATGGCTTGGTTGTTAAAGGAGCCAGATACCACAGAGCCAACCATACACTTCAAATCCTAGCCCTGGAGTCTTGGAAAACACACCAGGCACATTTGTGAGCATGCTCAAAATCCTAACAGGATGGAGAAATGGAAGAAAAGGAACTGTATCCTGATCACACCCCTTTAGAGGGTTCTCTCTCTCTCTGTCTCTCTCTCTTGTAAGCACACACATACTCTCTGGCAAAATTTTTTAAAAAGAAAAGAAAATTCACTTGGAATTTCAAAGGACGCTGAATAGCCCAAAGAATTGTAGAAAAGTAAACTTTCCTAAGTTCAAAACTTACTACAAAACTATAGTACTCAAATGTGTAGTACTGGCAAAAGCATAGAAATATAGACCAATGAAATACAAATAAAGGTCCAGCAATAAACTCTCAAACTGATTCTTTTTTTTTTTTTTTCAGAGGTTTTGGCTATAGGGCGCGTGTGCTCGCCAGAGAAAGAGAGAGAGAAAGAGAGATAGAAAGAGAGAATTCACCCCCCAGGGGGCATGGCCACGCCACAATCCCTTCTCCTCCATTCTCCTCTCGGGATCTTGGGCACGCACGCACATTTGCCCAGCGTGAGTTTAAGCCACCGGGTCTGGGACGTGAACCGCAGTTGACTACGTGGGAGTCCAGTGACATAGCCATTATGCTAACTGCTGGTCCCACTCAAACTGATTCTTAATAGAAATTTTACAAGGATGTCAAGACCATTCAATGGGTTAAGGACAATCTTTTCAACAAAGGTGCTGAGAAAAGTAGATATCCACATGGGAAAGAATAAAACTGGATACTAATCTTACCCCACATAAAAAAAAAATGAACTTAAAATAGATAAAAGACCTAAATTTAAAAGCTAAAAATGTAACTGTTTTCAAAGAATTATTTATTCAACCTTATTTATTATTATTATTATTAATTTGATGAGAGAGAGACGGAAGAGATGGGGGTTGAGAAACAAAGTCACCAGGTCAGGACTTGAACTGCAGTCAGTCATAAGTCCAGTGCCTTCACCCCCACACCACCTGCCAGCTCCAAAACTGTAATATTCTTAGGAAAAAATCATGACTTGGGTTTAGCAACAGTTATTTAAATATGACAGAAAATACGGCAACAAAACAGATAGATAAACTGGATCTCAACCAAATTAAACACTTCAGTGCATCAAAGGATACTGTCGCTCACGTGCTCACCACCTACCAGCTCATGTGTTCACCACCCACTGGTGCTGCCCACATTGCTGGGTGGTACTGAGCTACTATCTCATACTCTGCCTCCTCAGCTCAACAGCCCTGGCTCAGTCCCTGACCTTACTGAGACCAGAGAGATTGGGGTAAGCCAGGAAAACGTGATTGAAGACAGGGCTGAGAGCCTGCAGAGGCTGAGGGCACTGCCTGTGAGCAGTCCCCATAGAGAAAGGAAACAGGCAGGACTGTCAGGGGTCAGAAAGGAGTTGGCAGGAACTTCTACTCTGCATGGTTTCTACTTGTGAAAGTAGAGAGGAGTCAACCACTAGTAACCCATGAGCCTCTAAAGGACTCTGGAGGAAAAAAATGAGAGAAATTCGATTCTGAAACTCTCAGCCCCCACCTCAGATTTCAGCACTTCCACTCACAGAAGAGTAAGGAAACTGGCATGCAGCTAACACACATCATAGTCACACACAAGAGCAAACAGCTTCAGGGGAAAAAAATTGGACCTCCTACCTCAAGATGACAAGAGAGCTACACCACGCTGCAAGCTAACCAGCAGAAATAGCTCTATTTACAATCAAGTCTCCATAGCCAGAGAGAGCAGGAAATACAAAATAGAGCACTACCACCTAGAGACTGAGGAATTTGGCACTACCCCATATCTAGCAGGCAAGGCAAATCTGCACTCTCCCTCCTATCAGACTCAAGTTCAGGGAATTGGTTATCTACTCCAACTCATGCCACTCACAGTGCAGAACTTCTGGACCTTCCCAAACTGTCTCATGTCTAGGATATGTAAGCCCTGCTCTGATCTGGAAGACATGATTGGTCCAGA